AAACCATAGCTCAAATCTGGTCCTTTCTATGGTCTAGATGGATAAATTTTCCAAGTTTATCCATTGAGACACCCAAAGAGATCAAGATCTCAAACCTTAGGTATAAATAAAGCTAAGTACAATAATATCTTAACCATTAAGCCCTTAATTCGAAAAATTCCATAACCAAACCCCTCCATAAGCGTTTCTAATACCAGATCTAGCATAAAGATGGGAGTGTTATAGACATGCACGTCCAATACATGTGTAGAGTTCATTTTAGGTTAAGAAAACTCATGCAAGGTCAAGAAACCCAAACCAACGTCAAGATCTGCAAGGTCAAGAAACCCGAACCAACGTCTAGATCTGCAATATATGTTTCTCATGGGACTTAGGAGAGTCATAAAGTTGCCAACTTTATGTGTTCCTTCCATTCAAACTTGCTTAGATATTAAGAACATGGGACAATATCTTAGATCTAACCACTTCAAGCCATAAAGTTTGAGCCTTTGACACTTACAAAGGTCTAGAAGCAATGTGATATGTTGATGATGTTGTTTCCTTGTAGGATCCACCACTAGAGCACCTTCTTCTCCTTCTTTTCTTCTTCTCTAAGCCAAAAAATGATCCAAAAGATCACAAATCACCAAGGGAATTACGACTAGGGCTTCTCTTAGGTAAAAGGGTGTTAAAGGCTGGTAATGAACCTTAGAAATGACTTAGAGGGGTTTAAATACGAAGGGAAACCTAAAAGAATCATGGGCTTGGGCCAGAATAACTGCCACGCCGTGGTAACCCTTGCTACGCCGTGGCGGTCCAATAAAAAATGTGTGCTTTCTTTCGATACCACGATGTGGTCATCCTTGCTCCATGCCGTGGCACATAGTTTTTTTTTTTCAAAACTCCATCTTTATCCCCTAAACATATAAAGCTAACCGGGCTAGAACACGGGTGTTACAAACATGTTCACAACAGAATCTTCACATTAACATCAATAAGTCTATCCGTAAGAAAGAAATATGCCAATTCAGTTTGATGCAGTTTCGTAATCACTGATCCACCCTCCAATATTGCATATATTGAAATAGAGTCCATTGAAATTACAACCATGGTTACCTTCTTACAATGTTGCTTTTCGGAACACTAACTAAAGTTTAGAAGAATCATAAACTAGAATTTATGAAATCTTGGTTCGAGTTGGTTTGATCTAAGACCTCAAGGATTCCAATTGAATGCGTGTGAAAATGCGAGAGAAGATTTTAGAAAGAAGTACATGTTGATAGCGACCTCATACATACCATGGTAAAATTGATGTATGATCATAAGCCCAGTCTTTACGAAGTCATGGATCGGGTTGTTTTGTACTCAAAACCTTGTGGAACTCGAGTGACGAGTGTGATTTTGCAAGAGAAATGAGATTTTACAAAATAGGAAAGGTTGGTGGTGCATCACGTATCCCAAGGTGACAGTACGACGATCATCGCACATATTTTTATAACACATATGTTCTGAGATGTTTTTACCCGAAACCTAGGGGTGCTATGTGAAATGTGAGTGAGATATGGACAAAAGAATTTAATGGAATGATGTTGGTACATTAAAACATAGATTGTTCATGTCGTCAATTCATAGTTGCATACTAGAATGTGTAAACGAATTCACTATAAAGAATTCACCATCAATGCCTTTTATTTTAGAATAGGAACCATATGTATAGGTTTGTATATAACCAAGCCATCATCGGTTTCCAAGATTGGATAAAAAGAACCATAGTACCCCTGCTATGAAATAGTGACCAAGCAGACATCTCTAAACTCCGAAATAAGTAGAGAAATGTAGCTCGATGACTTTTGTTAATACAACCTATTTGAAAGAAATTCTTAGAACAATAAATTTTGATTAAGGCTTCACAAACAAAGAGTTTATGAGGCTTCGGACAACATGTTGTAGCATGCTTCTACGCACACTTAACTAATAATTTGTATTGTGAAACAAGAGATCTCTGTCAATTCTTTTGTTGCGTGCTAGAACAACAAGTGTTCTTGATTAAAAATATAAAGAGAAAAATATTTTTGGGTTTTTAGAAAATTTTACGAAAAAATATATTTTTGGATTTTTCAAAATTTTGAAGAAAACAAAATCTTTTTGTATTTTTGAATATTTTTGAAAATAAAAATCTTTTTGAATTTTTGAAAATTTTTGAAAATAAAAACATGACTATGAACAAAAACTGCACAAATAAATAGTAAAAACATAAAATAAAACACTAGAACAGAGAACAAAAACCCATTGTGACTTGTCGCGACTGGTCGCATTCATTCGCATTTGAACAATAGCTTTTCGCAATTTCAATTTGAAGAAAAATTAGGAACAAATTCTGCTTCCATCATTCCTAATCCTTGAAGAATCCTATTAAATGTTAACTCCGGTAAAGCTTTTGTGAAAATATCTGCTACATTATATTACGTGAATTGTAGTTAAATTGTTATTATTTACATCTCAATTGTACAAAATTACAAAAGTCTCTTTTTTATTTTTTTAATTCAAAAATATTTCATGTATTTTTTTAAACTCAAGTCTTTTATACATAATTGATATTGTTTTTGAGTCATGTTCTATTCTTAGACCAAAAAATTGATAATTGATATCAATTTTTCCAATCAACACTTCGACAAAATTTTGGGGCTTGGTGACAGAGATCCCGACAAATGTAAGATATTTGTAACGTAAATGATAAATCACATTTGTTAAATCCTAAAAACATCATCTAATGTAAATGCTTATTTAAATAATGTATATAATCAATAATGTTATTTGTGTATGTTGTCATTTTTAACATATTGTTCTTTAAAGATGAGATTACATCCAATGGCAGAATAGTCATTACATCACCACACCTTTAGTATATTGCTATACCTTACAGTCATGCCAAGTAAAAACACATTCTTAAAAAAAGTCTTAATAGTTATTCCAAATCAATGATATGTGGTTAATCAACTAAATATACAATCTTTAAGCTCATTAATTAATTCACTTCATCACCACATATGATTTCAGCATTTCAAGCATTCCAAACATCACCACATATAGAATCAATCGATAGCTAGCCATAAACTCATGTTACTAACGAGATATACCAAATAGCTCAAAACATGATCAAATTAATCCCTAATCCCCTTAAAAAACATAAGTCTTAGGGAAAAAATCATTAACAATCAAAACATCATACCAAATGGTCCAGGAATTGAAATCAACATAAATCAATTAGCTTTCTGCATTACAAAAAACATATTTCAATTGTCAATTACAATTTTTCCATAAGAAATACTAATTCAATCAATCCAAATTCAGGTGACATTTCTTCCATACGTTTATTGGCATGTGTCCACTGAGACCTGGGTTAACATCGAATTATGCAGATACTTGTTGACTGTATCCCAGTTAACCTGGTTTGGATCTTTGCACATTTTCTCCATTAACTTATCTTTCGTATTTTTTTTCTCCCAACGAGATTCATCTTCATCTTCATCGTCTCCCACGCGAAAAAAAATCAAAAAATACAGATCAAACGATAAATTTAAATTAGAAATCAAAACTAGAATCAATACATTCAAACAATAATCGACCCAAAATTACATTTCCGACATATCTTTATGGTAGATGAGAGAATATGGTGACTACTAAAGATGTTAAAGGGCGTTGAAGGGTGCTGACGAGGTATGGAGCATTCCAGTGCCTCCATTGTGTACTGATTTATGGTTCAAGACTTCCAATTCTATAGAAGAGAGAGATGTAAAGATAATATGATATATCAACTGGTGGGTAGTGTTGGTGGTGGTTTCCGATGGTTCGGCAGTGGTACTGATCGGTGGAGCAGACGACGATGTTTTTGAAATGCAGATTGGCGACTTTCATGTGCAGATCGATGACTTTCAAGTGTAGATTGACGGGTCTAAATGTTTCCATCGGCATTTTCTATACTCTCATCACACATAAAAAGAACAAAAGCCCAAATCATTCACATGATCGGACCATCATTCGTAGCCCACCGTCGTTGGCGGAAACCACCATCATCGGAACATCGCCCGCCTAAACCCCTAGATCATCGTCTTCCGTTTCGACTTTAAGAGGGTGTTTGGCTTTGCTTTTTAAATGACTTTTGGGACTTTTGGTTTTTCCAAAAAGTCAAAAGTTTCAAAAGTTATTTGGTAATTTGAAAAGATCTTCTAAATTATCTTTTTGAGAAGAAGAAAAAGGAGGGGTCAAGAAGTCATGAATCTGTGACTTTTAGCAACTTTTGCCTTTTTTCCCTTTGCCCATTCAAAAGTTTAAACAAACACATTTTAAAATTTATCTTTTGGAAAAATACATGAATCAAAAAGTTCTTTTCTAAAATGGACTTTTTAGTTTAAAAAGCTATCCCAAACACCCCCTAAGATGTAGAAAATAAGACATCGTGATATCAACCTTCCCTTCCTCATTCTCAATCAGGTGTATCGAACCATTCCTAGACTGCCTAAAGCATCCATCGTGAAATCAAAACCTTAGATCGTGGTTTCTAGCATCTGTTCTAAAGAACCATTTAGGTTGGCTATATGTTTATTTTAATTCATTTTATTTTTTGTAATAAATAATAAACAAACCTAATTACTCCAAAAATAGCCTAATACCTTAATTATTTTGTGGAAAATAGTTAAAAAAACCCAAATTACAAATATAGCCACCAAAATACGGATGTAAAAATCTATCATGGGACCCCGTTCCCGTAGGACCCTGATACCGTACGAGACTAAATCTTCAAAAAAAAATCGGGAGCGGGAGCGGGGGCGGGGGCAGAATTAGACCCCGTTTTTTTTCGCGACCGGGGTCGGGAGTCGGTATTTTCGTCCCGTACTCCCGCGGAGGCCCCGATTGTACATTTATGTAAAAAATATATATTTAATATAAAAAATATATACAAAATATATTTTCCAATTTTATGTTTAGGTTAGGTTTCAACTTTCCATTTCCCGTTTCCAATTCCACTTTCCCGTTTCGTTCGTTCACTTCACTGTGAGACGAGTCGACGACTTCACCCAAAAGGCCAAGACGCTGTCCCAATCGGCCAATCGAACAACCCCATCGACGAAATCGGAGTGCCTGGAGTGCCCACTGCTGCTGGTCGACTTATTCCGGTCTTAATCGACTGACGTCATCTTCAACGTCCAATGAAGAACGAGCGCAACGAGCCAGCGACTTCGTCTCTCCAGCCTCCACAATTCGAACACGATTACACGAATAGGTTAGCTTGATTTCTGATTTCTCCTCTTCCAGGCTTCCTCTTCTTTCGATTTCAACTGAGTTTGGTTTATTGTTTATGATTTCTGTCGATTTCAACTGAGTTTGGTTTATTGTTTATGATTTGTGTCGATTTCAACGAATAGTCAATGATTTCTATCGATTTCAACTGAGTTTGGTTCGGTGTTTATGTTTTGGGTGTCATATATGAGTATATTGGCTTCATAAGAGTTCTTCTACAGTACAATTCTTCTTTCAGATTTATTGTTTATGTATTGGGTTTGATTCTTTCACAGTTTTGTGATTTAATTATAACTGAACCTATCACTGAGTTTCTTAGTTATGTCATATGTTTTGGGTTTGAGTTTCTCAGAATTTGTTGTTGAACTTGTAATTGGTTTATGTAATGCTCATATGGTAATGTTGATGTATGTAATGATGATATGATAATGCTTATTTATCTAATGCTGATATGGTAAATTAGTAATTCTGATTTTCTGTTTTTGTGTAATGTTGATATGGTAATGCTGATTTTCTATTTTTGTGTGAACCTAGACCATTTTTAGATTTATGTAATCATGTCTTCAGAGCCGAATCAACCCAATGATTCAAACACGGTTAATGATACCGCAAATTCTGCAGTTGACTGTAACGAGAAACAAATGAAATTTAAATCTCTAATGTGGCCTCATTTTACCTATGAAGATTTTAATGGAACTAAAAAGGTTGTATGTAAGTATTGTAGAAAGGAAATTACTTATACAACCAAAAATGGAACCAAGAGGATGCATACTCACCATAAGTCATGCAAAATACGAAATCGGCAAAAGAAAATTGATGATTTTCAGAGTCAGTTAATCGGAAAAAGATCTAAGACAGATGAAAGTGGGGGATCAATTTTAGTAAGACATCGGTTTAATAATGATGATTCGCGAACTGATCTTGCTAAAATGATCACAAAACATTATTACCCACTTAGAATTGTTCAACACGGAGGCTTTAGAGATTTTTGTCGGGGGCTCCAAGCACTTTTTAGGCCAATTTGTAGAAACACAGCTAGATCTAGATCTGATGTCATGAAGTTGTACGGTGAGGAAAAGGCAAGGATGATGCATTTTTTGGAGAGTATTCAAGGCAGGATTGCAATAACTACCGACATGTGGACTGCTAACTACCAAAAAAAAATATATGACAGTGACAGCCCATTTCATTGATCATTCTTGGCAATTACAAAGTCGTCTTTTGAGGTAATACTTAATTTATATTAATTTATTTAATCTATTAGTAGCATTCTTTAATTAAATTAAATTTATTTTTGTTAACCGATAGGTTTATATATGTGCCACATCCCCAAACTGCTGAGAAACTAACTAATGTGTTGATGGATAGTTTGTTAGACTGGAACATAGATAGAAAATTATCAACTTTAACTGTTGAAAATTGTTTAACAAATAATTGCATTATAGTTTTGATGGTAGACAAACTTCCTTTTGATAGCTTGATTTTGGGTAGAAGCTTATTTCATATGTGATGTGTTGCGCATATTTTGAATTTAATTGTGAGGAGTGGGTTGGATGTTTTTGGACATGGGATTGAGAAATGCGTAACAGTTGTAGTTTTTGGACAGCTACACCAAAAAGACTTGATACATTTCAAAAAAATGCAAAGTTTGAGAATATTTCTTGTGAAAAAAACCTAGTTGTTGACTGTAAGACATGATGGAATTCTACTTATTTAATGTTTTCCACGACTTTGAAATACAAGAAGGTGTTTTATCGGTTACAACAACGTAAGCCCCAATATAAGAGTGCGCCTGATGAGAAAGAGCGGGCTTTGGCAAGTGAGCTTTGTGATAGACTAAAAAATCTTCTATAATGTCACAAAATTATTTTCGGAAACAAAATATCCAACAACCAACATTTTTCCCCAAAATATGTGAAATAAAGATTGCTCTAAAGAAATAGGATACATCTAGTTTCATTGATATAAGTGAAATGTTCGAAAATATGATTACAAAGTTTGATGAGTATTGGTAAGAAAGCCAGGAGGTGTTGGCTATGGCGACGATATTGGATCCAAGGTTTAAGATGAAGCTCCTAGAGTATTTTTTTTCCTATTATCTGTGGAGTAGATAATGTNAAAGATGAAATTCAGAAAGTGCGTCAAATTTGTGAAGATATATATATATATATATATATATATATATATATATATATACACACACACACACACGATATGAGTCAAGCGAGTAATGATGATATTACTAGTAAGCCCACTTCTGGTTGAGATGCAGCTCCCGGAAGTGACATGGACTGATTAGATGCTTTCTTTTCATGTAATTCTTCTACTACTAAAGTTTTTGTAAAAAATGTATTAGAAAGGTACTTAGAGGAAGACACTTTACCCCTGATTCATGAGTTTGATGTGTTAGGTTGGTGAAAGTTAAATGGGGTTAAGTATCCTACATTGTGTTTGATTGCAAAAGACATATTAGTCATTCCTATCTCCACTGTCGCTTAAGAGTCTCTTTTTCTACAAGTGGTAGAATCGTTGGTCCACATAGGAGCAGACTTCTTCCGTCAACAATTGAAGCTATCATATGCACTCAAAATTGGCTATGGGCGGGTAAACAAGGTGTGTATGACTTTGCTTGAATGATTATTTGTTTTATTCATTTTAATATATTTTTATTATTACCTTTATTTATTTTTTTCTTTGTCAGGTTGTGTTATTGATAGCGGTGATTTACATTCCGATGAAGACGACTAGGGAATTGAGGTAAGATTGTTCAATTTGTCGTTTTGTATTGAATAAACTAATATACCAATTTATTTTATTATTATTTTTGATTATTTATTTAAGGAGGATATTCAAATGTCAATGAATGAAGAGTTGAAGGCAATTAATGGATATTAAAGATGTAGTGAATTCGTCATATATTTTTTGACATGTTAGTATTTTATATTTGTAATGTTGGATTTGTCGTATTTTACATTTATAATGTTGGATTTGTCTTTGTAAGATTGTTGGAATTGTCGTTTTTTAATGTTGGATTCGTAATGTTGGATTTTTAATTTTATAATTTCTAAAAAATTAGGTTTTAAGCTTTTAAAGTTATTAAAAATAGTCCTTTTAGCCTAAAACAAAGCAGTTTTTTAGCAAAAAAATCCAATTTTAAGCCGAGGGAACCGGGGGCAGGACCGGGGGTGATGGAAGTAACCGGGGGTGGGACCAAGGGCTATGTAAACGGGGGATCTGGGGGCGGGGGCAGCTATTTCCGCTCCCGTTTGGTCTCGTTGACATCCGTACACCAAAATCGCAGATTGACTCAGTCCATCTGTGATTTTACTTGTCTATCTGTGAACATACAAGTCGCTAAAGCACATCCGTGCTTTAGCGACTTGTAGGTTGGCAGATGGACTCAGTCCATCTGTGATTTTGCGTCCATCTGCGATTTCCCTTTTTTCAGGGGTATACAAACATAATATTTTTTTCATTTTTCAAACTTTTTGTTGGAGAACTCTTTCTTTGGAGGGACTATGGACGATTTTAATTTTCAAATATTTTTCAAGCTTTTTGTTGGAGAATTCATTTTATTAGAGATGTTTTAAACAAATTATCCAAAGAAATAACAACTAAAGTGATAATTTTTTGCAAAACTTTATATATAATAAGGTTGTTTCGTGTCAAACCCTATCAATTTCGTAGTTAAAATAAAAAAAAAATAAAAAAATAAAAAAAAATGCTAAATCGTAGGTGGATGGAGAGGAAATCGCAGATGAACTTAGTTCATCTACGATTTTAGTCTGAGATGGCAGGTATTTATACGGGAAAAAAGAAAAAAATAATAAAAAAACACCTACGAACGTACAAGTCACTAAAACGTACCCGTGTTGTAGCGACTTGTACGTTCGCGGATGGAATGTTAAAATCGTAAAAGGGCTTAATCCATTTGTGACTTTGATGGGTGTTTTTGTAATTTCGGGGGTTTTTTTTTGGGATTTTCCTCAAAGTAATTAAGGGATTAGGCTATTTTTGTAATTTTCTCAAAATTCAATGCCATTTTCTTATTTCATAGATTAGCAAATCACAAATCCTAGTATAATCAAAACTGCAAGATAAGATATTTGAAATAAAAATAATGAGATCACATTATCAAATTTTGGAGAGAATGAAAAGATAAGTTGAAAATTGTAAACGAGGGAAAAAAAGGGAAAAATATGATTTTCATTTTCCGATGGGGTGAATTAGGTCAAATTTTTTTTTTGGGGGGGGGGGGGGGGTGAATATAAGTCGAAAATTGTAATTTTTATTCTAACTTGTTAAATTTATGAATCTAGTAATTAATTGATTTTATTTAAATTTTTATTTTTTATGTAATAAAAAATAAAAGTCTAAAATTGTTCCTAATATGTTACTAATTTTATGATTTGGTTGTATTAGTGTTTTTCATATTTTTCTTTATATAAAATTGTTCTAATTTTATGATTTCATCACTAATTGACCACATGTATTTAACCATAGTAACTTTCATAGTAAAAATTAGTGATTTAGCTATGGATTTTAATTTTGAAACATTTTTTATGGGCGGATGACCTGTGTAGGTTTAAGATATTTTTTTAGGGTTAAGGGTGTAGGACTTATAGCTTATGGGATTAAAAGTATGACTTGAGGGTTAGACCTTATAGTTTAAGGCTTAGAGCGTAGGACTTATAACTTACATCATAAGGCTTATGGCATGTGGTTTAGGTTTTATGGTGTATTGATTAAATATGGAATATCTCTCATGATATATGTCTTAGGGATTAAGGCTTAAGGCTTATGACTTGGGGTTTAGGGCATAAGGTTTATAACTTAAGGATTTTTCTTTATGGTAAATGTCACTATAACCCAATCAACTATCGTCATTTATCCGATTTGGTCACTATATTTTTTTGCTCAATAGTCATTAAACTTACAACTTACATGCATATTAACTCACTTTCGTTAGTTTTTAACAGATCCTCCATTAACCGGTTATTATAATTTACAAGAATGGTTCCTATGGTTTCAATTTCTTTTGTGGTTGGTCCTTTACGAGCATCGTTGATCACCTACACCATCACCATTCACTTTTGGCGCCCACCAACGTTCACCTCGAGCAACCCCCATGATTTTTTATTTAAAGTTTAGTTTACCGATCGATTTTAAGTAAAAATACAATACATTTTGTGGAAATTCCAACCACTGAAATCCCTTAAATCAACCAAAAATATGCTAGATCACTAAAAAGGATCATCGTAGAAGTTTGCAAACTGCATTTCATATTATTTGGTGAAATAGTTCCATTAAAAATGATCAGTTTTTAATATCGGATTCTTGTCACAAATAAAAATGTGTACGTTGGTAGTTAGTGAATTGCATTTAGTGTTGCATGGTGTAACAATTTTATTCGGATAATCCAATTCAAATAGGTATGTCATGTATATACTTTGTGAAAGAAAGGAATATTGATGCATATTCTGTAAGAAAAAGTTAACTCACAAATATCTTATTGGTAATTAATTTCTTATTTAGCAAATAGACATTGTTACACTTTCATTCAATGTTCATTCTGAACATATATTTTTTTAAATTGCATTCTTTATAACTGAAAGTTGCTGAAATTATTTTTTTATAAAAATTAAAATCGATTGAGATTTTTTGTGAGTGATCGTATGTTAGAATAATGGTTAACGGGGTTGCCCGAGGTGAAGGGTGGTTGTTGCCGGAATTGAACGGTGGTGATGTCGATGATGAATTGTGTTGGTGTGGGACAAACCACGAAAGAAATTGAAATCATAGGGACCATTCGTGTAATTTATAATAACTGGTTAACAGAGGATATGTTAAAAACTAACGAAAGTGACTTAATAGATAGGTAAGTTGTAAGTTTAATGACCTATTGCATAAAAAAATACTTTACCAAATTGGATAAATGACGATAGTTAATTGGGCTATAGTGACATTTACCCTTTGTTTTATGACCTATGGTTTATGGGTTAACCCTTATGGATTGTGTCTAAGGGCCTAGGGCATATGACTTATGACTTTTGTCTTACAGATTAAGATTTAGTGTGTAATGCTTATGGTTTGTGACTTTTGACTTATGGCTAAGGGTTTAGGGCTCAGGGCTTATGACTTATGGCTTACGGCTTATGGCTTATGGCTTATGGTTTATGGATTATGGCTTAAGGATTGATGCTTAAGGCTTATATAAAGAAATGAAATTTTGTGTATGTATATTAATTATATGCATAAAAATTAATCATACACGTTGTTGGTATTTAACTAAAAAAATTAATTATTAAAGAATATTAATAATATTATAGTAAATTATTTTAATATATATTTAAAACGGTAGTAGAATTTCCATGTCTTAAGGATTATGTCTTATGGTGTAGGCTTAGGGTGTAAGGCATATGGCTTATGGAGTATGTGTAGGGATGGAGGCATGTGTCACACCCCCAAACCGGAAGGGCGGAAACGTTCGGGGGTGGATAACGTCATATGTAGTATCACAATAATTGCATCATAGTAATCATAGTAAACACAACCATTA